GTAGTGTGTGCTCCGTCTCTACCCGTAACCGATTCAGTAGCCTCGCTGTGGAGGATGTTGACGATGATGCTGAATGCTCCGAAGCCAATTTCAAGCGAGATGTTACACCAACTATTGAGGCCCAGGTTACCAGCGTCAATGTGGAAACGGAACATGAGCTCCTGCGTGTAGAAGGCAAAATCAACGGTCGTCGCGCGCTTATGTTAATAGATTCGGGCTCGACCCATGATTTCATTGCCGAACAGTTTGCCAGGAGAGTTAACCTGCCAACCGAAATTGGCTCGGAAAACCTGAATGTCACGCTGGCTGATGGAGCATCAAGCTCGTTTCCCATGGAGACGACCCATGAATTGAAGGTTATCGTAGGCGACTTCAGCGATAACCAAACCTTCACGGTGTTCCCCCTTCATCGCTATGACGCTATATTGGGGAAACCTTGGTTAACGCGTAACAATCCAGACATAAACTTCCGGACGAATGAAGTCAGGTTGAACTCGAATGGTTTGCCTTGTGCGTCGCCCAGTCAAAGCGAACCGACCGCTCCTGTGGAGGCGATGTTCATATCTGGTCGTCAGGCTAGGCATGCCCTTAGGAGTGGAGACGAAGGTGTTCTGGCGTGGGTCAGCGTAGAAGACGGCATTGGCAAGGAACCTCCCGACAAATCCACTCAGAACGAGCACCCAGATCTCAAGGCCATGTTCCGTGACTATGACGATCTTTTCCCGGATGATCTGCCAGCTAGACTCCCACCAGAGAGGTCTGTAGACCACGAAATCCGCCTGGAGGAAGGCTCATCACCCCCATCGCGACCTGCCTATCGCCTGCCCAGGCCAGAAATGGAGGAATTGAAGAAACAGCTCACAGAACTCTTGAAAAAGGGTTTCGTAGAACCAAGTAAGTCCCCCTTTGGTGCACCGGTGTTTTTTTGTCAAGAAAGCTGATGGTTCGTTACGCATGGTCTGCGATTGGAGGGAGCTAAACAAGATAACTGTTAAGAACAAGGCGTGCTTGCCCAATGTGGATGATTTATTCGATACCGTACAGGGCGCTAGGTACTTCACGAAACTAGACCTCCGATCAGGGTATAATCAGATTCGCATTCAAGCTGAGGACGTGCCCAAAACCGCGATTAACACTCCCTTTGGGCATTACCAATTTAGGGTCATGGGATTTGGTCTCACCAATGCACCGGCAACATTTCAATCCATGATGAATACGATTCTTCAACCATATCTGAGGGAGTTCGTAGTCGTGTTCCTAGATGACATACTCATCTTCAGCAAAACGTGGTCGGAGCATATGCAGCATGTCCGGTCGGTATTGAGCGTGCTCCGGGACAACCAGTTATTTTGCAAACGGTCAAAATGTGAATTTGGCGTGGAGAGTGTGCGGTTCCTGGGACATTGCATCGATGGACTGCACATCGCCCCTGACCCAGACAAGATTGCCGCAGTAAAGGTCTGGCCCGCTCCGACTTCCGTCACAGAGGTGAGGCAATTTCTTGGATTTACGAATTATTTTAGGCGATTCATAGATCAATACTCATCGCTCTCTAAGAACTTAGAGGAGATAACGGGAAAACATGCACGATTCGAGTGGAACAGCTCTCGGCAACATGCCTTTGAATCGCTAAAGCATGCCTTGTTGAATGCGCCCCTATTGCGGCTGGCTGATGTGAACCGACCATTCAGAGTGGTAACAGATGCAAGCGATTTCGCCTTGGGATGTGTTCTTCTCCAAGAACTAGAGGAAGATGCCTGGCATCCAGTGGCTTATGCTAGCCGAAAATTGTCTGCTGCGGAACAGAATTATACAGCTACAGAAAGAGAAACATTGGCCGTAGTGTTTGCGCTAAAGACCTGGCGCATCTACCTCTTTCAACACTTTGAGGTCATTACAGACAACATGGCGGTAGTTTATCTGAAAACAAAACCAAGCATTACAAAGAGAGAGGCGCGATGGGTTGAATTCCTAGCTGACTATAACTACACAGTCCGTCACAGACCCGGCAGAGAGAACCCTGCAGATCCCCTTTCGCGTCGCCCAGATCTCCATGAGAGTAACCTCGTGGAGAATGCAGTACCACGTTTGAATGCTATTGAGTATGCTTTAGCAATGAATGATGACGTGTCCAATACAATATCAGATGCCTACCAGAGAGACAAAGAGCTAACTCCCATCATAGAAAGATTGAAGCATTCTCTCCGAGATAATTTGCATGATCGCTATTATTGGGACGAATCCACTGATCGCTTGTACCTCAAGGCATCCCCCAATAACCGGTTGTGCATACCACAGTGCGGTGTCCGGTTAAAGCTCATTCAAGAACACCATGAGTGTGCAACGGCTGGCCACCCGGGTCGTGATCGAACGTACTTCCGCCTAGCACGTTTTTTCTACTGGCCCCGAATGGGTCTCGATATCAAGAGATTTGTCAAAACCTGTGATCTCTGCCAGCGAACGAAGGGAGGTCAGCCACGAACAGGGCTTCTCCAGTCACTTCCAATACCTAATAGTCCTTGGCAGGATATCTCAATGGATTTTATTGTTGGATTGCCCCTTACTTCTCGTGGCTTCGACGCAATTTACACCTTTGTGGACCGACTTACGAAATGCGTACATCTTGTTCCAACAAACTCGAAGATTGATGCTAAGGGCAGCGCTCAACTGTACATTCAAAACGTGTTTCGTCTGCACGGGCTGAGCTCAACCATTGTTTCCGATCGCGATCCACGATTCACTGCAGCTTTTTTCAAAGAAGTATTCTCTCAGCTAGGAACTAAATTGGCATTCAGCACTGCTAACCACCCTCAAACGGATGGTTTGACAGAGAGAGTTAACCGGCAAGTGGGAGATGTTCTAAGAGCATTTGTGAACTTGAGACAGGACAATTGGGATTCGCTTCTACCACTCTGCGAGTTTGCAATAAATAGTTCACAACAGTCATCTGTAGCTAATACACCGTTCTATCTGAACTATGGGTTTGACCCTAAGTCCCCGCCCGAATTCATTCTTACGGGAGGGGAAAGGAGTGATTCGGTCGATTGGCTTCATGAGCAGGAAGCCGCACTAAGGATAGCTCGAGATGCTATGCTCGACGCCCAGGCAAGGCAAGCTCTATACGCAGACCAGACGAGAACGCCCAGTGATTTGAAGGTTGGTGATAGCGTTCTTGTCTACAGAGACTTTCTACTGACCCCGGAAGCTCGTGGCCAGCCCTCTCGGAAGTTGCAACCCAAGTGGTTTGGTCCGTATCGTATCCAGGCTAAGATTGGAGCGAATGCTTTTCGCTTGGAACTACCCCGTGAACTTCGCTGCCATCCCGTGTTTAATGTCACTGCTCTTAAACGCTACGAAGAGAACACGATTCCTGGAAGACACCAACCCCCGCCTCCGCCCTTCACAGATCTAGATGGACACACACGCTATGTTGTCGAAGCCGTTTTGAATCACCGACACCGCAGTGGTGAGCAACACTTCCTGGTGCATTGGAAGGGTTACCCCAGCAGCGAAGCTACGTGGGAGCCCGCTGGCAACCTATGTGATGAGTCTGGTCGGAATATTAAACCGCTGCAGAACTATCTAGCCTCACAACGACAGCAGCCTTGATCTAACTGGGCTGAGCCATATGCATCTCTTACTGAGATAGTTAATAATTATGTTATAGACTGATATAGTTTTGCGTCATCTCCTTGTGAGAGTGATGAAGTTGAGTTGGATTACACTTCAATGTGGTTATGCATGTGCATGAGTGATTATTTAATATTCCCCTTTCCACAATTGCATCTCCTAACTGGATTGTGTTATCTAATAGAACCTTGGGCTTCCTATGGGGCCGGGAGAGTGTAATAGTTTTACCTTGACACTTCTTGCTTGTCTTATGGTAACACCTTGTGTTCCTACTATTCTCACTCCTGCGGTTCTCACCTTTCTTTTGCTTTATAACCTCTGGTTTGAACATCATTCGACGAATTCTCCAATCAATCAAGTCTATACTGTTACACGTTGTGGTGTCCAGTCATACCGGTGACATACGGCATCTCGGAACTCCTGCTTCGTCAGGGTGAGGCCATGGGCTTGGAGGGGTCGGCAGGTCAACCAGGCAGACGAACCTTTCTCAGATGCTAGGTCCAGTGCTCGCTGCATGACTGGCTCGACAAGAGAGGAGACCGTGGCCACATCATCCCGGATAGCGTCCCTCACCATCACGCGCACCTGCCGCTTGGCTTGCCGGGTCTGGGCTGTCGCACCTCCCAGTCTGAAGTCGTGGCGCAGGATACGGTGAATGAGGGGATATGAGATCCGTAGTGATGAGGCATATTGCACTGCTCTCGAGGACGGGTGGGTTAAGCCAAGGCCACCATGGCGAAGGTGGTGGCGGCGCGGGAGGCGCGGCTGGAGAAGGATTGTTTCGGCAACGATTTTTCTGAGCAGGGCAGCAATTCCGGCATTTACGTCCACTCTTTACACAGACACAGCCAACACAGGAGCCATTGCCGTTGCACCGACAACACGGAGGGCCTCCCTGCATGGCGTGTGCTGTCCAAGCTGAAGCTTGACTGGTGCGCAGCACGGGAATCCGGCCCAGAACTCACATCAGTACAAATCCGACAGCTCCAACCGGTCGGTTAACCGGGGTCGGATAATCGGATTTCAGTTGCCAGCATGCACTACTAGTACTATCAAGGGGGGTTATGGACTCTTGCCTGGTACTATACACTGTACACCATGGTACACGTACATGTACCCTGGTACACTCGTACTCGATCGTAGATCTACGTACTTACAGTTTTTTGTTTTGAAGAAAACAAAACAAAGCAGCTTCACGTCATCGATCAAAACATGAAAAACTCGCTAGCATGCACTAGCAGGCGCGCGGCCGGTCGGCCGCGCGGCGCCGACGTAGCGACCTGGTTGCAAATGATGCAAAAAAGAGACCAAAATTAAAAATGCAAGACGCGCGCATGAAAAAAAAAGTCTCGTACATGCGAAAAGAATGAATCTGGAAACAAGAATTTTCAATTCTACAGTGCAGTATTTTCTTTTGGTGATGTGTGAAATACCACTACTGTACATGTACATTGCTAGCTTGGAGTGGCAAAGCAGAGGGAAGCAGTCATGTCGGTGCCCGGCAATGGTGCGGACTTTTCTGGCAACCGACAAATGGCAAAGGTAGAGCATGTGGACCGTACGAACTCTGCCAATTCTCCTCCGAATGAGAAGAATGAAATTCCTCCTAAATGGTTCTACATATGTTATAACACCAGACCTAATGATCGTCCTCTAGCGTTTGAAGCGTGTGACCTGCGGAGCTTAGATTCGTGGACCGACCTCTACCTTCAGTGGAGTGTTTTGGAGCGAAGTGACTTGCGAAATTTGAAGTTGACACGTTGTGATCTAGAAGGGGCGAATTTGTGCAATGTGGACCTGCGCGGAGCGAACCTACGGAACGTCAACTTGAAGAACGCCATCCTGGACGGAGCCAAAATTTCACATGCACAGATGGTAGGTGTCAGCCTGCAGAATGCAAGCATGAAGAACGTGGAGGCGGAGGACTGTCACCTGCTGAATGTGGATTTGCGTGGTGCGAACATCAGCAATTCCCTATTTAACCAAAGCAAGCTGGAAGAGGCTAAGATGACTGATGTTTCGTGCGAGAATGCAAGTTTCCGGTTTGCCAAGCTCCTTTGGGTTACGTACAACGAGAGCTGCTTTCTGAAAGCTGACATGCGTGGTGCTGAAATCCAGCGGAAAATCGAGGAAGCGGAAGACCCCAGAACGCAGAAAGTAGACTCTGATTCGAAGGAAGGACCGAGCACGTCAGCAGCGGTGTCTACAGGCAGCACGCTACTGTCTGCGCCGCTGGCTCTGGAGCAAGGCCCTAGTGTGAACACTCAGAGTGTTGACGGCATGCGGCCGCATCCGGGCACGTCGACTTCTGCTAGCAGTGGCACAAACTCGCTCGGTACGAATACTACTATGCTGCCCACCTCCATGCCAATGGCCGCTTCAACCTCTGTCCCAGCATATGATATCCGAGCGCCATCTCTGACTGGCGTGTCGGGCCCTGGCCTGCATCCAAATTCTGCTCCTGGATCGCAATCCCTTCAGCAATCCCTTCAGCAACAACAGCCACCGCCACAGCAACAACAGCAGCAGCAACAACAGCAGCAGCAACAACAGCAGCAGCAGCCACAGCAACAACAGCAAATGCAGCAGTTGCCTCTACAACAGCAGCAGCAGCAATTGCCTGCCCAGCAGCAGCAGCAATTGCCTGCCCAGCAGCAGCAGCAATTGCCTGCGCAGCAGCAGCAGCAGCAGCAATTGCCTGTGCCTGCTCCCGGTGGTCCTGGCAATAATCCTCTTATTCCGCCGCCAGGTCCGGGTGGGGTCTTGATGACCAGTGGAGGGGCGATTCAGCATTTGATGCCGCACCCCGGCCCACCCCAACAGCCCCAACAGCCACAGCAGCTACTACCAGGCGTGGGTGGCCCACTCGAGCAGCAGACGAACATTGTGGATAACCGCGCTATGGAGATGCCGCTCGACCCTAATCTCCAGCAGCAGCAGCAAATGCAGCAACAGCAGCAGCCACCGCCACAGCAGTTACAGCATATGCCTCAAGTTGCTATGCACGGTGCCGCTCCACACACAGCCGGTGGCCCTATGCAGCCGCAGATGGTGCCGCCACCAGATCTGATGATGGACGAGCACCGGTTCCACGAGGAGCAGGAGCGGGAGCGACAACTGCACGAGGAGCAGGAGCGACGTCGACAGGACGACCAGGGTCGGCTGCACCGCGACGAAATGGAACGTCTTCGTCACGACCGGCACGACAGGCATGATCGACACGAGCGTCGTAGATCGGAGGACGATCGGCGACACCGTGGCGATCATGCTCGTCGCAACAGGGGTGGTGGCGATGATCGACATCGGGAGCGCAGCGGTGGCGACCGGGACCGAGATCGCGACAGAGACTTTTCCCCAATGCGCAAGCGCCCCTACGACGACTCCTTCCTCGGCGGCGGTCCGCCCGGTCCTGGGGGCAAAGGCCCCCGGCCGGACGGTCCAAGATTTGACAGCGCTCGGCCAGCATTGCTCGGGGAGTTTCCGAGACCCCCGGGTCCCCGTATGGCTGGGCCGAATGGCATGCAGGCAGGTCCCCCTGGCATGCACGGCCCTCCGATGATGCCCATGGATATCCGAGGTCCTATGGTCAGGGGTAGTCGTCCACCCATGTTTGGTCCACGAGGTGGCATGCCATAGGCGCGTTCATTGTGTGTGTGTGTGTGTGTGTGTGTGTGTGTGTGCACATGTGCGTGTTTGCGTGTGCGGATGTGTGTGTGCTTGTCTCCATCTTTGTTTGTCGCCATATTGCGCGATTTGTATGCCTGACTATCCTTTCTAACCAGCTTTGCCAGCTTTCGTTCTATTGCGGTATTTTGTTCCCCGTGTCATTGTCCTTTCATGCTAGGAGCTTTTCTTTGGAACACTTTTTATGCTGTACATTTCGCTCGAGAGATCGTCTTTTCTCTTCTTGTATTTTGTCCTTGTTCTGCACGTGGTCAGTTGTTTTATTCTGCCATTTCTTATTACTACTAGGTTGTTTTTCAAGCATGCTCATACGGCTTCTTTAGTCGGCGAGTTTTTCTTGAGCAAGTTGACACACCGTTAACCGTATGGCACTGTACATGTACGGTGCAGATGAAACGTGCCACCTCGCTTTCTGTGCCGTTTGCGCCTGTGTGCGTGTGTGCGCATGTGCATGTTTTTGTGTCTGCTTATGCCTGTCTGTTCTGCCCGTTTTCTCTTGTCTCTTCGACTCAGTGTGTTGTTCTGCACCTGTTTCAGGTCCCTGGCAACCGTTTAGACTTTAAGAGTAGTACAGTGCCACTCAATGAGATCCAGGCCAGGGCCGCTTGCACTCGTCGTGCACTATGCAGTCCTATATCAACTCTAGACCTGTGAGGCTGTGACCACTGGACTGTTCACTGGACTGTAGGGCGCAAACTTGACTCCACCGAGTAGCGCTGTGCCAGCCCTGAAGCAGAAAGATATATTTTACCTTCCCCCCCCCCCCCCACGCGCCCCCGCCCTGAAGGATTAGAGCTCGGCTAGTATGACTGTAGTCATTTCTGCATCAGTCAATTATATATTTATATATATTTATTACAACATCTCAAGACTCGGTGGAAACACCGGCCAATGTGAAGAGAGTGGGTGATTGCCAACCACGGCGATAAATAAAAGTAAGGGGAGGGAAAAAGAAAGAGTAGCAAAATGAACAGCAACAACAACTCCGTAAAGAAAGATAATGTCTAATAAAAACAGTGAAAAACACAGAGACGCAAAGGACATGTGGATAATGAGCTATTTATGTCGTAGTAAATAAGGGGCGGCACGGATCTTAAACAGGCGGAGTGAGGTCAGATCCTTAACTTCTCTGGGTAGAGTGAGCCAAACAGAATAAGCAATAAAGAGAGGAGAGCGCAAAAGAGTGGATGAGTTACACTTAGGGAGTAAGAGCGAGTTTCTAGTTCTTAGAGAAGAGAACCAATTAAAACACATGAGATGAGGTGGGCACAACTCAAGCTTAATAGAATGGACAATAGAAGCCAGGTGTGCACTGCGTCCATGTGATAACGGGGTTGTGTGAGCGATTTTATAAAGGGCGGATGATGAGAGCATTATGGGGTTGTCGGAGGAGAATTTTAAGGATTTTCTTTGATTATATCTTCGATTTTTGTACAATCTTTTGACCTTGCAGGTTTTTTTTGACCTTACAGTGTACTAGTCCAAGGGATATGGGGAGGACGATTTGAACGCACATATATTGATGTCAGGGTTTTCAACCCATTTGCGCCCTCAAATCGCTCCTCCTCCGTCTCCGCAGCCTACACCCGCCATAAGAAGGCAAAGAAGCGTTCGTACGAACAGCGCTTGCGTGATCGTGTGTAGAGCATGCCTCGTTTGTCCCGGCCGTGTTCTCTACGACTGGCGGCATGAGCAAGTGTGCGTCAGCTCTGTACAAGAGAATTGCTGTGTTGCTTGCAGAGAAGACCGGTGAGTCCTACTCCCTCACCATTGCGTTCATCCGGTGTCGTCTTAGCATAGCGCTAATACGGGCCAGTGTAATGATTATGTGTGTGCGTGGTAGCCGATCCATGTTTTCTGCCCATGCTCCTGTCGCGTCATCTGCAGCTGTGGTCGCTGCGGAGGCATCCATTATGGCTGACTGAATATTGTCATATACTTAGACTGTTTTCACAGCCATACTACTACTACTACTACTACTACTACTACTACTACTACTACTACTACTACTACTGACCAAACCACTTTTACGGGCAAAAAAATACCATGGTAAGCACACAAGTGATGGAAAAGAGTGAGTAAGAACGAAAGAGAGAAAGAAAGAGAGAATGCACTAGTATGTCAAGAGAAGTAATCAATTGTTAAGGTCTTTGAGCTATTGTTATATTGTCCAGATTGACGCATGGACACTGAATCTCAGCCGGCAGCCTGTCGACACTGCACCAACAACGACGAGCGGACGCGACGCTGGTAGGATGATCGGCAACCGCGAAAGCAGGTTATTGCCCACCGTACGAGGCAGAATGCCAGCCGAACACGCAATGCACTGACGATGCTTGAATACCGGATGTCTTTATTGCGCTCCGCGAGCCGACCGGCAAGTGTCGCCAGGAATCGTGAGCTACTACTACTACTACTACTACTACTACTACTACTACTACTACTACTACTACTACTACTACTACTACTACTACTACTACTACTACTACTACTACTACTACTACTACTACTACTACTACTACTACTACTACTACTACTACTACTACTACTACTACTACTAGCTCATTTTTACTACTTATTATTTGCCATGGCGGCCCCCGTAAGTCCAAATAGCTGGCGGCGCCGGGCAGGGTTGGGCCTTTTTCTTTTTCTTTCAAATTTCGTTGTATCAGTGATATGATGGTGATCATGATTGTACTTCAAGGATTGCCAGTGGAACTATTTTTGGTTTTGCCCGTACAAGAGGCTTTTTAGTATTTAAAAAAATAAATAATACTCTACTAGTACTACAGTAAGATCGGGCGCCGAAGAACGCAGGGGCTCGAGCGCAGCCTAGGAAAGTTCTTAAATTTTTGATTCTAGCCCGACCGTTCTTATTCACACGCGCGCGCGGCGAGTCGAGTGACGCACAATGTACAATGTGGTGTACAATCATGTACTTCTAAACTAGTGGGTGTCGTAAATGGGAATGACTGTACATGTAGCAGTTACTGTTTACACGTGTACATGACATGTACTCGCCTCCCATACATGTACAATGTATACAATTTTAAAAGTGTTCTTAAATCTGATAATTCTAGCCTGGACTGTTCTTAAATTTTGCCGGTTTTCCAGCCTGGGTGTTCTTCGGCGAGGTGTTCTTCGGCGCCCGATCTTACTGTAGTAGTACTGCACGTACTGGTAGTCCATGGATATGGCATGAATGATTGGACTCTTGACTTGTTGAATCTTGGCAAGAGTACAGTCATGAAAACCATGTACTCTTCTTGATCTTGGTGATCTGGTACCGGTATACCTGGTATAACGTCCATGGTGATCGTGAGGCGAGGCCTCGAGGGTAAGCAGGGAGTCGTATTTTACGACTCCCTGAGGCCTCGAGAGTAAGTTTTTTTTCCACTGCAACTGCATGCAATGTCTATGTCTGCATGACTCTATGTCGTCATCTTTTGATCACGTGTTAGTCGCCTACAGCTGTGCGTAGCCGGGGTGTGATGGTACGAGAACGGTCATCGAGTCGTTTTTTGTGGATCGATTTGCACACTGCGCTATGGCTATGCATGTGCATGTGTGTGGTGACTGCGGACTTTTGACTTGTCTTTTGGCGACGTCGCTACTGGGGCTTTGCTCTCGACGTGACTCACGAGTTCAGGCAAAGAAATCGTCGCCTGACGAAGTTGCTGTGAAACAAGCCAAGTGCTTGCAGCAATGTCGTTCCTGGATGATGATGATGGAGATTTTCTCGCCAATGGCCCGGCGTAAGTTTTGCTCCGGCTCCAGCAAATTGAAGTTGACATTCAGGAGATTCAGTAATTTCTTTGAGAAGACAAGTATGGAATAGTAGCTTTTCACCTTTGAAATTTTCGATCTTGCTGTGGCTGTTTGCAGAGGTGGGACTGGTGGTGGTGCACCGAAGTTAGCCCAGCTGTTTGGCGGAGGTGGCGGAGGTGGTGATACAGAGTTCACGTACAAGGCACCTAAGCAACCCAAGAAAGCGAAAGGTTTGTCGATTGGTCAATGCTCTCCTGGTCCGGTGCAATCCAGGGTAGGAGTATTGAGAATTGTTGCTTTCCTGTTTACTCGCTCAAGGTGCTGCAGGTGGAGGTGAGCAGATGTCGGTCCTTCAGGCCGCCACCGTCACGACGTACAAATAGTGAGTATTGTAGTACTTAGACAACTTGTAATACCCTAATTTCTGGGTATCCTAACTAACTCTCGTGACCCTATGGCCCCCGCATCTGACTCTGTACACCAAAATGTTTGGCTTTTCAAGAGCATAATTCTCACGTGTCGTTTGGAAAAAAAGACGTGGGAGAATAGTTTTCTGTTTTTTTAAGCTTCTTTTCAAAACTAAAGGAGGGCGTATCTCCTTGTGTCATATGCAATTATGTCCTGACAGTGTCACCTACATGCTATCCTTTCTCCCAGCCGTAAGCAAAAGTGTGAACTCGGGTTACGTTTGGTTGGTCACATTCCCAAATGGGAATCACTTGGAATCACTCGGAACCATTCTCGCCCGTTTGGTTGGTCAAAAAAGTGCGTTAGGTTGGTCCCATTCCAGAATGGGAATCGCTGAGAATGATTCTTTTTGGAGAATGATCATTCCACCTCACATGCTGGAATGAGCATTCCCATTCCGGAATCAAAAATGATAATGGTTGCCACGAGCCAAACAATGTAGCATCAGGTTCAAGTGCCTCAAATCATGCACTCAGAAGTGCCTTGACTCTCTCAAGGAAACTAGAGTCGGGTAAAAGAGAAGAGAGCCGCCGTTCCACAACGACATCATGGAATTGTTATGTCAAGTGATTCCTAGTTGATTCTGGCGCGTTTGTTTGGTCAGGTGATTCTTACCCATTCCCATTCCAGAATGGTTGTCATTTACATTCTGAAAATGCCCAACCAAACGCAACCTCAGTGTTCCGCCGTTTCACTTCAACGTGAACATACAATTCATAAATTAATAAGCCTTTTCGCGTTGTACAGATGTACGAAGTTCAGTACTAGGGCGTAGGTGTGTACAGAACCGATCGGGTGTTCATTGTGTGCTATGCATGCGCATTTGACCAATTTTAGCCTCATAATTAATGGCAAACAATCCCTTTTCCAGCTTCTTCACTTTGGTTAGAACTAATGACTAGCTAGATCTTTGTCAGAAAAGGTTTTCGTTTGAAATGCCTTCAGGGCCCATTTCTTTGTGGAAATAGCAGAAAACACAATAGGGTCCTGCACATTCAACACCCATTAGGTTCTACGGGATTCTACGGGATTTCGTGCATCTGTACAACGCGCAAAAGGCTTCTAGTAGTAGTTTCAGTACTTTTCAGGGATTATTTGCTTGTGGCTGCCCTTTCATTCTTCATCAGTGCACGTCGAGCATACGGCGGCCCACTCCTATCCTTGAGCCTGCATACTCCAAGGCTGCCTGTATCTCAGAGTCGTTTGTGCTCGGATATACACAACAAGCCTTTTGGATATGGCGCATAGTTCTTGTCAGCTGGGGTTGTTGAGCTAACATCGATGCCATTTGCAGGCACACACACTTGTTGGACGCATGCACTAGCTTTTCAGGGGTATTCGGGGCTGCCGATGGTTTTCCCACACGAAAGCTTCAAAACATTTTTAGACCACATCCTTTCCTGCAGGCAGAACGAACTTTTTAAAACAAAATATTGGTTTTGAGCGCCAGCACCTGACATTGCTATCTGGGCATTCTCCATGTGGAAGTAGTATTTGGCAAGGATAGCATGCTGCCGCGCACAGCCATCTCCAGTTTCTGTACATGTACAGTACGGTGTGGCGCCGAAGAAAGACCAGGCTAGAATTTCACCAAGCACAGCATACCAATGTATACACTATGACTGAACTGTGCATAGACTGTACAGCATACCAATGTATACACGATGACTCAACTGTGCATAGAGCGTAGTACATGAAGATAAGAACGGCCTAGGCTACAAGGCTTACAAGGTCCTTGGCAATCATAATAGTGTGCCAGTGCCCAGTGGCGTAGCTGGCTGTATGATGTCATTCTTATGTCATACTATTACTTACCACTAGTGTACGCAATGGTTTCCATTTGAGAAACTTACCTACTTTAAAACTTTATACATGTAGCATTAGGAGAAGAGGGGCATATGGCTACATTCTGTACGTTTGTGCGCCTGCGTTCGTGTGTGTGTGTGTGTGTGTGTGCGTGCGTGTGCGTGTGTGCATGTGTATGTTTGTTTAGTGTCAATGAACAAGCTGTATCTCAAGGCAAGCTTGGAGCGGCAATCCTCGGTCAGCACTCCACGAAAGAGGTATGTACACGTGCCCTCACCCCCTGTGCTCCCGTGTGTGTGGGTGTGTGGGTGGGTGGGGTGTGTGCGTGTGTGTGTGCGTTTGTTTAGCAGTCAACACGGCTTACTAGTATGTATTGACTGCATGTGCCCAGGTGGTTCCGAGTTTGTTTTTAATGCATTTGCAGTAACCAATAAGCCTGGTCAAGTTACATTCTCTAAGCAGTAAGCAGTAACCGCTGCTGTGACCGCATTGCGTTGGAGTGCCACGAGTGCTGAGTCTGGCGTCACCCATCAGCGTGCTCATTCCGTTCTGCGAGTGTGTACCTGATCTGATCCGATTTGCATGCTGATGCGAATGCCGCGGCTGCAGGTTGTTTTTGATAAGTGATTTTGCTCTCGCGTTGTCGTTTCTGCTCTTCTAGGAAAAACTGCTGTTGCATGCGGGTTGTGTTTGATAAGCGACTGTGCTCTTGTGTTGTCGTTTGATAAACTACTGTGCTCTCTCGCATTGTCGTTTCTGCTCTTCCAGTACAAACTGCTGCTGTACGCTGGAAAGCAGCAGCATGTGGCGTCGGCGCCGATCAACATGAACTTCACACTGCACGTGAGTGTCTCACCTAGATCAATGCGTTCCTTTCAACATGCTATTCAAAATACATATACTAGTAATAATAAGTGTAAGTCCTCTCAGATACTGGGACGTCTCTCTACCGGGCACCTTCAGCTTGAGTTCCTATGGTAAGGGTGCTTCGATTGGGGGGGGTAGGTGGCTTTCAAGTAACCACATGCTCATTTTCGAAGGTCTTGTCACTGCCAACCTATGTTGTCAACACATTTTCATCTATGGATTCTTTTTTTATGCTGTACATGTGCACTACGTGCCACATAGACTTCATCCGAGAACTAGTTTGACGTCGGAGTTTGCGAGCCATACACTATTGTTAAAGTCCTATTGGATGTGGTGTGTTTTGACTTTGATTTTGCTGCTGTTGTTATTCCCACACAGATTCAAGGCAACAACTACACAAGTTTTGTTGATGAGCAGCGGCAGCGTTGGTCAATGGCATTCGATAGCAGCGCTTCATTGGTTGACTTTGCCAAGCAGGTACGCGGGTACATGCATGTACTGGTAGTTAGAGCGAGGGTAAATAAGCTCGCAAGAGTGTGCAACACTGCATGTGCCGAAAACTCTCCCTATGACGTATTCCAAGTACATTTCGTACTATGTACAACGCAGGGGCCAGTGTGCACACACTCCAGGCATGTCATGATTCTGCCGATTACTCGCACAGGCTGAGTGGGTTTCTGCCAGGAAGTGTTGTTTTTTTACTACTCCATTGCTTGCTAAAAACAGGCTGAGAATGTACACTGTGGACGCTACACCGTGTGTGATATGAGTTTTGGCCTCGGCAGGCCCCATAGCAAATCCATGCAGAGTTGCACACTCCTAGGAGTTAATTTGCTCTTGCTACTAAAAGCTGCTGCCAGGTTTTCTGTTTGCGCTTGGGGACGGGGCGAGATCTTCTTCTTTTGTATGTACAATGTACTTGGTTGATGGTCCTTGGTTCGAGTCCTGATGGTGGCAGTCAATTTTTCTTCAGACTTATCCAGTTCAACTCCCTCAAACTTACGAATGCTTGTGTTATTGTTTGTGTTTCGGCAGCATCTGCCATTGAGTGCATTGAGTGCCTTGCCCCAATTCTCATGCATGCATGCATGCTCATGTTCAGTGTTTTATGTGGGTCTGGCTGCGTGCGTGTGCGTGCGTGTGTGTGTGGGCTGGCAGGCTGCGTTGTGCAAGTTCCAGGCAGCTGGCGGCGGATTGATGATTGTCCAGCAAGATCTTGTTATCGGTGACGGCTTGGTAAGCGCTGCTTCATCGTGAGCACCGTATGCCGTGAATATAATGATTGTGATGGTTGAGACATACTATGAAGTGTCTCTGAGAAATGCTATGCTTATACTACATACATGCCATGGGTATAGTATTGTTTCATTAGCAGCAGACACAAGATACTGTATTTTCCCGATTACGAGCCGCATCCAATTAGAAGTCGCACCTCCGAATTCAGGCCCAGCCGTCGCATCATTTCAGTATGTTCACTCGAGAAACAAGCCACGCTTGATTTTAGGGTACACCACCCTCTTCAACCTTGGTGTTTATTGTAAAACTGTGAGACTACTAATTTGGGAAGTACTGTACATAGCTGGGTGAGTGGGTTCATTTGGGAAACAAGCCACACTTGATTTTAGGTTGCACCACCACCACCGCCGCCACCACCACCACCACCGCCACCACCACTACCGCCACCGCCACCTTCCACTTATTCATTAGTTTGAGTGTATTGCAAGCTTCAACCTTCTTCAACCCTGGTGTGTATTGTGTGGTGGTGGTGAGACTGATACTCTGGGCGAATACTGTACATAACTGAGTGCCGAGGGACAGCCCTGGCGTAACCTGTTAGAGCGTGACATACATGTAGGTTGGACGATCATCTGTGGATGTTGAACTCTGGCATCCGATCATGGTGCTGCGGCGTAGGCAGCATGGGAAGAACACCGTACCTTGCCTTGTTCACCTTGCCCCCCCCCCCCCCCCCCCACCCACTCTCGCCTCGTTGGCCTATCTCCCCCCCCCCCCCTTTCTTCGTTGACTGTATCCCCTCCCCCTCACCTCGTTGACTGCGTCCCCTCGCCTCGCTAACCATATCCCACCACCGCCTCGTTGGCGGTTGTTTACAAGAGCAATCTCGTTACTAGTACAGTCAGACCTCGCATAACCGCACACATCCATTTTCCACAAAAATATCCGGATAGGCGAGGGAACCGGATAATCGAACGCACATATTGTATGTATGCATGACATATTCTGTAAATCGGTAACCAGCTATTTTCTTCCGGATGGCGAGGGATCCGGATAATAGAGGACTGGATGGCGAGGGATCCGGATAAAAGAGGACTGGATGGCGAGAGATCCGGATAAAAGAGGACTGGATGGCGAGGGATCCGGATGAAAGAGGACTGGATGGCGAGGTATCCGGATAAAAGAGGACTGGATGGCGAGGGATCCGGATGAAAGAGGACTGGATGGCGAGGGATCCGGATAAAAGAGGACTGGATGGCGAGGGATCCGAATAAAAGAGGACTGGATGGCGAAGGATCCGGATAAAAGAGGACTGGATGGCGAGGGATCCGGATAAAAGAGGACTGGATGGCGAGGGATCCGGATAAAAGAGGACTGGATGGCGAGGGATCCGGATAAAAGAGGACTGGATGGCGAGGGATCCGGATGAAAGAGGACTGGATGGCGAGGGATCCGGATGAAAGAGGACTGGATGGCGAGGGATCCGGATGAAAGAGGACTGGATGGCGAGGGATCCGGATGAGAGAGGACTGGATGGCGAGGGATCCGGATAAAAGAGGACTGGATGGCGAGGGATCCGGATAAAAGAGGACTGGATGGCGAGGGATCCGGATAAACGAGGACTGGATGGCGAGGGATCCGGATGAAAGAGGACTGGATGGCGAGGGATCCGGATGAAAGAGGACTGGATGGCGAGGGATCCGGATAAAAGAGGACTGGATGGCGAGGGATCCGGGTAAAAGAGGACTGGATGGCGAGGGATCCGGATAAAAGAGGACTGGATGGCGAGGGATCCGGGTAAAAGAGGACTGGATGGCGAGAGATCCGGATAAAAGAGGACTGGATGGCGAGGGATCCGGATAAAAGAGGACTGGATGGCGAGGGATCCGGATGAAGGAGGACTGGATGGCGAGGGATCCGGATGAAAGAGGACTGGATGGCGAGGGATCCGGATGAGAGAGGACTGGATGGCGAGGGATCCGGATAAAAGAGGACTGGATGGCGAGGGATCCGGATAAAAGAGGACTGGATGGCGAGGGATCCGGATAAACGAGGACTGGATGGCGAGGGATCCGGATGAAAGAGGACTGGATGGCGAGGGATCCGGATGAAAGAGGACTGGATGGCGAGGGATCCGGATAAAAGAGGACTGGATGGCGAGGGATCCGGGTAAAAGAGGACTGGATGGCGAGGGATCCGGATAAAAGAGGACTGGATGGCGAGGGATCCGGGTAAAAGAGGACTGGATGGCGAGAGATCCGGATAAAAGAGGACTGGATGGCGAGGGATCCGGATAAAAGAGGACTGGATGGCGAGGGATCCGGATGAAGGAGGACTGGATGGCGAGGGATCCGGATGAAAGAGGACTGGATGGCGAGGGATCCGGATGAAAGAGGACTGGATGGCGAGGGATCCGGATGAAAGAGGACTGGATGGCGAGGGATCCGGATAAAAGAGGACTGGATGGCGAGTGATCCGGATAAAAGAGGACTGGATGGCGAGGGATCCGGATGAAAGAGGACTGGATGGCGAGGGATCCGGATAAAAGAGGACTGGATGGCGAGGGATCCGGATGAAAAAGGACTGGATGGCGAGGGATCCGGATGAAAGAGGACTGGATGGCGAGGGATCCGGATGAAGGAGGACTGGATGGCGAGGGATCCGGATAAAAGAGGACTGGATGGCGAGGGATCCGGATAAAAGAGGACTGGATGGCGAGGGATCCGGGTAAAAGAGGACTGGATGGCGAGAGATCCGGATAAAAGAGGACTGGATGGCGAGGGATCCGGATGAAGGAGGACTGGATGGCGAGGGATCCGGATAAAAGAGGACTGGATGGCGAGGGATCTGGATAAAAGAGGACTGGATGGTGAGGGATCCGGATAAAAGAGGACTGGATGGCGAGGGATCCGGATAAAAGAGGACTGGACGGCGAGGGATCCGGATAAAAGAGGACTGGATAAGCGAGGTGTGACCGTGCTTACTATTTGGCAGCTAATGAAATGAAACAAACTGGACCACGAGCTTGACAAACACGAAGTTTCGACAGACTGCCACCGTTGTGCATCGGTCATTACTCTCACGGTGGAGGTGATGTGAAAGTTAAGCAAGTCAGCAAAGAGCAAGGTGTACTCCGGTGATGTGAAGCCTAACAAGCCGTACTGTATGTTAATACAATGGGACTCTCATAAGATGTACCCCCCCCCCCCCCCCCCATTTGCAACTGGACTGTATAGCTAGTATCCAAAGTACTTCTTATCCCCGTATACTTCAGCATGGATGAATACACCCGTGCTCCGGACAGTGTCCATACTAAACAAGAGTTTGTCCTATCAGGGTGCGTACTAAGTGAGTTCCACTGTGTGTATCGAAAGCCGTCGGTTCGAAATCTGTGCATTGAAAACTGTCGGTACGAAATGCGTGTATCGAAACGCGTTGGTACGAAATCTGTGCATTGAAAACCGTCTGGCCCTTGCTGTGTGGCTTGACTTCTCCTATTGAACTCTACTGGTGTTTATCTGGTTTCTTCTGTTTGCAGACTCTCGACGCTGGGGACAACATCGAGTGCAAATACACTGGATGGTTGCTGCAAGATCACACGTTTGGAAAGATGTTCGACTCGAATGCCTCGTCGGACAAGGCTTTTCGCTTCCGCATCGGCAAGGGCAAAGTGATCAAGGTGAGCTGATGGTGGCAAGGTGCAGCTTCTCTCGCATAGAGTATGGTTGCTAGCTTTGGTCGGGCTTGTACGCTTCTTCGCTTGCTCCTGGTGTATGGGTTTGTGTGCGTGTGTGAGATGGTGTCTGTGTCTGGTTGCCTTCGTTTTGTGTTCACTCTGTCCAGGGCTGGGATGACGGTGTGGTTGGAATGAAGAAAGGAGGAAAGCGTTGCCTGGTCATTCCGTCATCCTTGGGTTATGGAACACAGGTACGGTTCTGCCTACAATGTGCAGCAGTCAGCACCTGCTTGGAGCAGTCTGACCTGTCTCCAATATTACCCCCCCCCCCTCCTTGGGTTATGGCACACAGGTACTGTTCTGCCTAAAATGTGCAGCAGTCAGCACCTGCTTGGAGCAGTCTGACCTGTCTCCAATGTTACCCCCTGCCCCCCCCCCCCCTCCCCTCCTCCTCCTTGGGTTATGGCACTCAGGTACAACAGTTCTGCCTATACTAGTGAGCAGTAGTCAGCAGTACCCGCATATGACCTGCCTCTACCCGCATATGACCTGCCTCCAAGGTTCCCCCCCCCTCCTGGGGTTTGGACACACAGGTACGGTTCTGCCTAGAATATGCAGCAGTCAGCAGTACCCGTGTTGAGCACTATCACCTGTGTACATGGTTACCCCCTCCCTCTTCCCGAGCACTCTGCTCCGGGCTGCCTTGACCGGCCCTGCTCGTAAATGTGTTGGAGCTAGATCTCAAGTCGTTGAATGTCCCAGTACCGCTGTCAGTTTTGTGACTAGTTGTATCAGTATATGACTGTATGTCATCTAGCTTGTGATACATTGGTGTACATTTGGTCCTTGCTCTTTCCCCTGCTCCCCAAACAGTCGTGTTGGGCAGGTTGCAGTTCACCTGTGTTCGAGTAATCGGGTTATGAATGCTGCGATGTGCTTGGTTCAGTGTCGTCACAAACTTCACGGTTTTTTTCAGCTGTGAATGCTAGTAACTTCTAATACACCGGTTGACAACATTATGAGTGGTTGCTTTTTGCTGCGTTTGCTTTGATTTGATGTTGCATTTGTTTTGCGTTGATGTTGATGTTGCATTTGATTTGTTGTTTGTTGTGTAGGGTGCTGGTGAGAGAATCCCGCCCGGTGCCAATTTGATTTTTGAAGTGGAAGTGAAAAAGGTCAGTGCTCTATGTCCTTGCTTGACTTTGACAGCAGTCAATACGACCACCGTGTACGTCCGTAACGTTATTTTCAGTGGCTGATATCTTGCTCTTGTGTTGTGGCTCGGCCACCTACTCTACACATGATTGTCGTCCTATCTATTGAAAGGGTTGACCTGAAAAATTAATACATTTAACAGTTTGTCTGAGAGTTGGTCAGGCTGGTTTTTTTTCCCTGTAATAGGCGATTCACACGACAGGCAAATCCACGTTTACAGGACAGTCACCATGGAGATATTCCTGCGGGTGACCAAAATTTGCCCGCGGGAATCAAAAGTGTCCATGGCCTTTTTGCCAGCGGATGCACTCATCTGCGGGCACTTTTACAGTTATGAGGCTGTGAGATCGTACTATCGTACGGTAGTCTTGAACGCTGGTTGTTTGGCCTTTGTCGTTGGGTACTCATTCCAAATCACCACAGTAACGCCGTATACTCACCGGATACTCGCGGGAGCTCTGGCCGCCACCCGCCACCGTGTGAACTGCAGCCTCACGTTTCACTTCCTGCGGGCACCTGACAAACGTGGATTTGCCTGTCGTGTGAATCGCCTATAAGGCCACACCGTTTTTTATCTGTGTTTCGCGTCCCCCGTGCGCATGTATTTCACAGCCGGAGTTTTAAAAAAAAACCGAAACAATTTTTTTGTTGAAAATGCAATACAAATTAATGCAAACCCAGAAAACCGGAAAATGTAACCCAAAAGGAAAAAAAAGGAACATGATTGTTACACGTAAGTATTATGTTGGCATCAATTTTGTTCTATTTATCGCATGATTGTACTCAGCTCACACACATGTACATGTACATGTGTGTGTAATAGTGTTGAAACGAGCGATCAGTTCCACTAACGAGCAAGCTATCGAGCGAGCTAACGAGTTTCATTAATGTGGCAAATATGATTTTTGAATAAAAAAATTTCTAAGTTTGATATTTTCAGCTGGTTCAAATGATCACCGCCGGCATTTGGGGTTGCTGCTGCTTCACTTCGGACTGCTGTTTGGTGTCAAGATGTCTTTTCAGCGCCGTCGTCGAGTAGCCTTTGTAAGAATATACCGTTTTGCAAAGATTGCAAGTAGCCCTGGTCTTCGCTGCATCGCGGGAGAAAACTTCAAAACAACTGAGCGTAACTTTCACTCGAATGGAGAGGTGACCGAAGCATATCCTGCGACAGGTCAGCATATGCAGAACAAGACATCAGTAGAGTCCACCAAAGCTGCAACGACAACTGAAACAACTCAAGTGTCGTGCAGGCATACAGTCACTGTAACTGCGAGTGATTTTCACTTTGCGCGGGACTGGACTCTCGATCGACCAGGGAGTCGTAAAATATTTTACGACTCCCGGCCCCGGTCGACATGTACTGCCATGTGTACAGAGTGCGGTGTACGGTGTTCGTTAGTGCAAACGAGCTGGCCGCACAAACGAGCCTAGTTTCTGGCGAGCGAGCTAACGAGTATCCGGTGAGATCGTTTCAACACTAGTGTGTAATAAGCTGGGCCGCAAGTCACACAATCATCATGCCGCCTATGTTTGGACCACAAGCATGGCAGAGGGGATACACTCATGTATTCTTTTTTAATAATAATAATAATAATTTGAAACTCGGATGTTGAGCCATAAATAAATGTGGAAGAGAAAAAAGACATATGGATACGAGTTAAGAAATATCGTACTGGTCTCGTCATCGTCCAGTAACAATCGACATTCTTTGTTCCGTTGGGACTGTAGCTTTTGCTCATTTTCGTTGCGCTTGCCTTCCCCTCTTTGGTCTTTCCATAACCTTGAACCTTCCAAGTTGGAAGGCTGTCGGTTAGCGCTACGGAGATGTGTTGAAGCTAGGTGTCAGGACGTCGAATGTTTCAGTACTCTGTCAGTTTTGTGCCTAGTTATTGCACTTTCTGACTGTATATAGTATCATGTTACAGTGATGGAGAGTTACTCTTAACTCGTATCCATATGTCTTTTTTCTCTTCCACAATAATAATAATAAAATTCATTTACTTGAAGTACATGTACAAGTCAGTGTACATGAACAGTGCCGCGTCGCTTCACTGTACACAAATGCAATGCACGTACACTGTTTTTTTTTTTTGGATGGCTTTTTTATTTTTTTCGCCCTCCCTCATTGATTTCATCGAATAAGGTGA